AAGTGGTGTAGGGTATCATAAAGCCGGCCCCGCCCGACTTTAAGACTTTCTTTACTGGTTTTTTAAATGATGTCATAGAGCTCTGCCCCGATGTTCTAGACCTCTTCCCCGTCCTTAACTCTTTTCTCATGCAAAATTCCCTGTCGATTGGTTTCAATTATGTCTCATAGAGTGACTGCAAAATCACTAAAATTTTAATTTTTTTTGGTCTATTTCAACCCCTAGTGTACATCTTCAAAAACAATATTCTTTAATTCTGACCACAAGCCTACCCCATGCTAAATTTCGTGAGGTTCGGTCGAGAATTGTGACTTGTATATAACACCCTCAACACATAGTATTGCAGGCTGTAGAAAAAACTGAAAATTAAAATTTGACAAAAATTGAAAAAATTTAACAAAAGTAGTCAATGTTTGATTATTGGCATGTTTTTAAGCGATTTTCTTAGATGTTAACCTTTTCTGGTCAAATACCATTCCGAACTTATGAGATATTGATATTTCTTTTAAATTTGTATTCTACCTATTTTGCTATACATCCCATATCTTGGCTATCAGCATCACTGTAATGATCACAAGTGACCTTTTAATGTATTTGTGATTCGGCCGGGATTAAAAAAATATTCGCAGTTTAGTGGAAATTTTCGATTTTTTGAAATAAAAGTTATGAGTTATTTTACCCGCTAGATTCATGTATATTTCTCTATATTAGGGACCAATATTTGGAGGTATTACATCATTTTTGGTCCAATAAACCTTATAATACCCGTAAATACATAGTGTTGTATGGTATACAAAGGAGTACATTTTAATTACTTGGAGAAGTTAAGGTATTACAGTTAAACTACGCCAGTTAAAGTCTAGTCTAGTTAAATTAATGGGGTTATACACATACATAGACTTTTTTCAATCTAGTTCATAATTCAGTACACCAGCTCCTAAACGTATGAGTTATTTAATAATTTTCATACCACTCATACGACCGGAGTCCCAGAAACTACTTAACGAATTAGTTTGTTCGAACTCTACACGTACCAACACATTTTTCCAGTTATATATTTCAAATTTCATTGTTTTCACTTATTAGAAAACTACTGTACTGTATGGAAATTCCTTCCATAAATATATGCAGACAAACACCTTTCTAACCAACACTAATCTACAACTTAATTGCGCCAAAAAGTCAAACAACAAACAACCAAATCGTCTTGACGGCCGACCACTTTTCTTCTGACAGCTAGACACGCAATCTACGCACATTTTCCTGCCATCATGTCGATGTCTGAAACATTCAGCGTGCGTAAATTTATTGACTTTCACAATCCTTGCATGTTTGGGTGACATAAAATTTATCTGAAAACACTTTGTCGATTGAATTGGCAATTAAATGATGTGTTTCGTTACAATGGAATTATGTGTGGTTATCTATACTCGTGATGTATATATCAAAGTGTGCGCGGTCGGCTGCAACCCTTAAATAAATGAAATTATGTTTTTCCCTTAATTAACATTGGCAAAAACGTGCACAACCTGTCATGAAGCATATAAACAAAGAGATGGGGAGGGAGGGATGACTTATACTTTAAGTGAAAACGCTATTGGGTTAGGTAATGTATTTTGAAGGTCAATTTCAGTTAGAAGAATTTATACATTCCACAAATGGAAAAGAATTGTTAAGTATATGATGTTCAAGATCCACATAGGTATAAACATCGATTTTTAGGAAAATTTGTTGTTCAATGTTCAAGAATTTTTCTTCAAGGCCAATATCGAAAATTTCTTCCATGTAACATCAATTCGCATTCCTCGATGTCAGCATTTATTTTTTCCTAGACCAAGATACCCACATTGGCGGATTCTTAAAGAATATATTTTCAAAGAATACAAGATGGTGAAATTATCTCCATTGGCCAATAGTGCTACAATCGTCACTTTTGGCAAAATACTTTTTTAAGGAATATAATAAATATTTTTCAGGGACCAGTTGGGCTATAGTTGTGGATTTTTTAACAATTACCAAGTGATTTTTGAAGTTTTTTAATTCCTCAACCTATTTTAAAGAAAAAAAATATTTTACTGGAAAGAAAGATCAGATTTTGCTTCAACTTTGCAAATCCTAATATTTGCATCAGAGTTAGGTCAAGCGCAAAAATGGACAATATCGGCCCACTCCATCAAGTACTTCCCCCACAAAGGGCCAACATTTTGAACATCCATGAAGCTCATAAAATGCGAAATTAACACCCAACTCCAATCAGACATAGAACACCTTAATATTTCCATCGACACAAGATCTGTTGCAACGAAGTTATTCGTAATGGAATTCAAGCGTGATAGTGTGATTTCTTTATATTTGGCTGGAAAACCACAAGTGGCTATCGTTAGAACACTCCAGCATTTAAATGTGAATAAATATTTTGTGCCGCGTACTATAGCTCGTTACCGTGATACTGGTAGCGTAGCCCGACGACAAGAAAGTGGACGAAAGTAAACAGGAAGAAAACATCAGCAGAAATGGTTCGAAAAGTAAAGAAGCGAGTTGATCGAAACCCGCGCCACAGAGGCCCAAAAATGGCTCGTGAGCTGCACATATCGCAATATTGCATTCGGCAAATATTGAAAAATGAGCTCGGAGTAAAGCCATTGAAATTCCAAAAAGTGCAAGAACTTACACCGCAACAGAAAGAAAATAGACTCAAAAAACTGAACTGCCGAATTTGTTTTTCTCCGATAAGAAACATTCGTTGTCCAGCAGATGCTAAACAAACAAAATTATCGTGTTTACTTGCCAAAGAGATCAGCTGAAAATGTGCACCTTCGGTTGGCCACCAGAACTCAAGCGCCGGCCATGGTGATGGTGTGGGCCGCCATAACAGCCCGTGGTCGCTCTCCGCTTGTATTAATGGACATCAGAATAAATACCGAATATTATCGCGAAAATATTCTGGAGGGTATATTAAAGCCTTGGGCAAGCAAACATTTTGTCCGCAGATCTTGGACATTCCAACAGGACCATCGCACTCAGCACGCGCCACCCAAGAATGGTTACAAAATGAGGCTCCTCGCTTCATTTCCAGCCCGCAATGGCCACCAAAATCTCCGAATAACAATCCGTTGGACTATTGTGTCTGGAGAATTTTCAAAAGCAAGGTTGGCAATAAAAAATACCAAATTGTCGATCACCTCAAGCAAGCCCTTCGCCGAGAATGGGCCAAAATACCGCAGAGTAACATTCGGGCAGCGTGTGACGGTTTCATTGGCCGTTCAAAGGACATAATTCGTGGAGGATATACGATATCGTGGGCATATATAGAAATTTCTCTTTTAGGGGTAAATTACTCAGAAGGAAATCCTTCTGTGGATTTTCAGACAATTTCAACGAAATATTCAGCTACAATCATCAAAATATCGAATATCGAGAGGTACAATTATTAATGATATCGTGGACCTATATAGACAACTATCTTCAAGGAAGTAAAATACCCACAAAGAACACCTTATGCAGAACTTCACACAATTCCATTGAAAAATGTGCCTAAAATTATCAAAACGCTGAATATTGGGGGGTACCGTTATATGAGGGCCATACGATATCTTCGAATTTGAGCTGCCTGCACACAAAATACATTCGTTTTGGATCAAGCGTGATCACAACAGACTGATGGACACGGCTAAATCGTCTTAGAACTTTACGCTGATCAAGAATATAAATACTTTGTTAGGTCTAAAGTTATTAATGACGGAATGACGAACTTGATATAACCTCCATACTATGTATGGTGCTGCATATAACAAGTAAAAAAACATTAAGTTCGGCCGGGCCCCACAAATATCAATTTTTAGACACATTCGTGGGAAAATGTCGCAAAATCATCAAAATATGGAATATCGGGAGGTACCGATATATGGGGCTATACAAAACCGTGAACCTATACATACAAAATTTCGGCAACGGAGGTAGAACCCATTAGAACACAAAAATACCAATTTTTAGACAAATCCGTGAAAAATATGTGGCAAAAATCATCAAAATATCGAAAATCGGGATGTACCGTTATATGGGAGCTATACCAAAACGTGGACCTATACATACTATGTTTCGCTACCGCAGCCAGAACCCATTATGATCAACAAATACCAATTTTTAGATAAATCCGTGAAAAACTGTGACAAAAACCATAAAAATACCGCATATCGGAAGGTACCGTTATATGGGGACTATACCAAAACGTGGACGGATATATCTCATTTTCAATACCAACCATCCTAGACACAATACAAATTATTCTCCTGAATTTGGACGCTCTATGTCGAATAATGTGGGCTGTATCGTGATTTTAACAGACAGACAGACGGACAGACAGGCGGACATTGACTTAGAATTTTATGCTGATTATAAATATATGTACTTTATGGGGTCTGCGGCAAATATTTAGGGATGTTACAAACGGAATGATAAAGTTAATATACCCTCCTTTCCAAGGTGGAGGGTATGAAAATCGTAGGTCTTATATTGATGGCTAACTTAATGACCAATAAATCGAATGTTTGTAAACAATGCACACCTTATATTCTCTGCTTATATTCTCTAATTTGCCATCTGTAGGTTTTGAACTACTCAACCCAACATACCATCAATCTAGACGGAGTAGAGCAAAATACCAAGACACTCAAAGGGGAAAACGTTCTCTAATAGCCACTCATTTTAATCTCAAACGTCAAAAAATAATTCCATTATTAACCCTTAATCTCGAAACCTTGAGTATTCGTCCTCGACAATGTTCGATTGGTTTACCAATTCTATTTAGCCTTATATTAAATTTTCGTTACCTGTCATAAGCCTATTTTAATAATAACAATAATTAACAACGACAACTTTACAATACATTTGAAGATTTCAATTGAATTCTCCCTATGCTCTATTCATATGCACTAATACTACTACAGAATGTGTTTAAGTACATATATATATATATATATACGACATTTATTTTCACTTACCTTTAGGCGGCGACGAATGATAGTATAAGCCTTGAAAACGACGTCGGCGTTTGGGAGGCATTTTTTCAATATTTAATTGTTGACAACTAAAACTTGGTTAATTATTTATCCGGGTACACGGAATTCATTAAGGCGGACAGTATTTGTTGGTGCGATATCCGTTTTACAATTCTCATCGATGGAAATGGAAGAAAACTAAGCTGGCGAATGAATGGATGAAGAATGAATGGCCGAAACGAAACGAAACGCAATGTAATGGCGAATTTAACAATACAGCTACGAGAACGACGACCGTATTCACGAAGACTTCGTTGATGATTAACAAATGACTGTTGTTTTTTTTACAAGACACAGTAATGTATACAAATTGTTTTCAATAAAATTTTCCACACAGCATTTCATTCATACTCACTCGTGGGTGGGTGTCTGTGTGTGTGTAAGTGTTTCACTTTTTTTTTTTTTTTTTTGTTATTAACGTTGCATTGATGTCTATCTTTTGGCGTTCACCTCATTTCGACATCGTGTTTGAAACTAATTTGTCATATCTTAGCCTGTGGCGGAGTTTTATGCATTCATATTTTGTTATCATTTTCTGTGGAATACAAAAACAAAACGTCAGCCGGAAAATAAGTCATATTTTTCACTTGGGTTTTTACACAAAATTTGTTGAAGCTTATTTTGTCACTATCCTGCAGGACAATTCACAATGATGGTGATTATAATTATTACTATTATTATTATTATTTGTGGTAATAACGATGTTGAAAAAAAAATTAGAACGAAATGCATACATACAATGGCATACACAATGACACATTGTTTGCCAAGCTCTATGTGGGCTATTCCAGAGGAAAATGTCAGCTTTAACCGATCATTTTAAGAATAAATGATAAATTTATTAATAGTCTTGGAAGTAGAGCACAGAAAGTCACTAAAAATAATAGAAAATAATATCTGAATCTGGCAGTATCTTTTGAGGCGAGAACAAGTTAAAAAGCAATAAGTTCGACCGGGCCGAACTTTGAATATTCTTCACCATTTTGAACGAATTTAGAAATTTTCAAAAAATAAAATCTGTTAAAATCTTAAAAATGGCAAATATAGCCGTTATATTAAGGTCTTTACGACGTGAACCTACATACGCATTGTTTGTCATAAGCCGTTACCATATTAAAATTCGAAACTAGAAATAAACGGTGAATAATGTTGCTAAAATCATCAAAATACCGTGTATAGCTATACGAAGACCTGGTCCTGCATAAACAATTTTGTGTCACAGGCTGTAGCATCCACAATTTAGGTGAGTACTATACCTAAATTCATCCTAAATTCATCAAAATACCGAATGTAGTGAGGTACTAATATGTGGGGCTTATACGAAGACGTGGACCTACATGACCGATTTTCTGTCTTAGGCTGTACAATTCCGGTGAATAATGTCGTTAAAATCGTCACAATACCGAATATCGGGAGGTACTGTTATATGGGGGCTTTACGAAAACGTGGACCTGCACAGACAATTTCACAGGCTGTAGTATCCATTACGAACTTCATATAAAAAATTTGAAAAAATTCCGGTGAATAATATCGCTAAAATCATCAAAATACCGAATATCAGGAGGTACGTTTAGCCTTCTATCTCAATTTGTTCGAAAGATAGCATGATTACAACAGACAGACGGACAGACAGACAGACAGACAGACGGACGGACATGGCTAAATCGACTTAGAATTTTACGCTGACCAAGAATATATATACTTTGTTGGGTCTGACATGAAACGGAATGACGAACTTAATATACCCTCCATATGGTGTTGGGTATAAAAATCCAAAAAAAAGTTGGTTTTTTCGAAGAAGATATCAGACATTATAACACTGTGAAACTTAGTATATTGTAACCGTAATATAATGCCCTTATATCCTTTCTAAGTTTAAAATATTTGTATGCGGACTCTTATCCATAAAAATACGTTATATGCCCTTCTGGAGAAGTTAGGAATATTCTTTTCCTTAAGTTGCAGACTTTCCGAACTTTGAATACCCTCCCACAAATGGAACGAATTTGGAATAGGAAGTTGCCGTTGTACTGGGGTTTACATGAAGGCGTGGACCTGAATAGGCAATCTCTGTCATAGACCATTACAAAATTCAATTTTTTCAGAAACTTAAAAAAATTCCAGTGAATAAAGTAGCTAAAATAATCGAAAACGCAATATTGGAAGGTACCGATATAAGGGGACTATACAAAGACCAGGAACTAGATAGACATTTTCCTGTCATAGACTGTAGTATCCATTACGAACTTAAAATACGAAACTAGAAAAAAGTCCGGTGAATAATGTAACTAAAATCGTCAAAATACTGAATATAGGGAGGTGCCGATATGTGGGAGCTATACGAATGCATGCATAGGCAATTTTCTATCATAGACTGTAGTACCCATTAGGAACTTAAAATACGAAATTTGAAACATTTACTGTGAACAATATCAATATAGGGGCTACACCAAAACATGAACCTATATAGCCCATTTTCAGTATCAAAAGTCCAGCAGACGAAACACACACTCGAGTAAAGTTTCAATTTGAAATTTTCCTACTTCAATGCTGTCATTTTCACAGACGGACATCAACAAACCATTGATTTTCAACCGGCAATTCATACAGCATCCTAAGAGTGACAAAGCTAAGAGAATAATCCTACGCCGTGTTCGATCTCTTACAGCCGAGGGGGTACCACCACATTGCACATGTCATCAGAAGCGCAAAGTCATCCAAAGCGCTTGGCCCTGACGGAATCTCTGTGGAGATGGTGGAGCCACTGTATGATCCAGGAGTTGAGTATCTCACCATGCCTGGAAAATGGACAGGATATTTCCGCTACTGAAGCCAGACAAGGATGCCAGCAAAAGTAATTCATACAGGCTGATATCAATTTTGTCACCAGTAGCAAATACGCTTGAAGCTTTACTCCTTCCCAGCATTAGCGAGTTTTGCCCAGTAGTCTATCATCAACACGGATTTCGGAAATTGCATAGCACAACAGCAGCTTTACACGCCATTTCCACACATGTCAGCAGAGACTCAACAGAAGAAAGAACAGGCTGTGTGAAAGAACAGTTATGGTGGCACTTTTTTGATACAGTCAATCAAGCTACACTGTTCGAGGGAATTGAACGTATCGACCAAGTATGAAACGTTGGATAGTATACTACATTACATTGGCGACCACCAATCGTACATGGAATTTTGGAAACAAGAAGTCGATCATCCGTAGAGTGAAACAGGGAGTTCCCCAAGGTGAGGTGATATCTCCGTTTAGCTTTCTGACACGCCCTCCAGACGGCATAGAGATAATAACTCACGCAGATGATTGTACGCTCGAGGCGTCAGGACCAATCATAGATGATGTATGCGATCGGTTAAACGCTTACTTAGTTGATCTAACCGCCTTTTCACTACGATGAATATGAAGATATCCACCACTATAGCGACCGCCACACGTTTAACCACCAACTACCCCAAGGTCTTAGGGATCACATTCGATAGCCTTTCGTCCGCGCATGGCACAGTAGAAACAAGGTTCTTAAGTCTCTGGCCGGCAGCACTTGGGGAGCTGATAAGGAAATCTTGTTGACCTCTTACAACGCGATAGGCCGGTCTGTGGTAAGCTATGCGGCTCCGGGGTGGTCCGACAACGTGCTATGCGCTATGTAGTGGAAAAATATTCAGTCCTGCCAGAATGCTTCCCTTAGAACCGCAACAGGGTCCTCCTCATGAGACCTGAGGAGGAGGCGAAGGTGCTACCGATGCAACAGCATAATAAAATGCTGTCAATGCAATGCCTGCTTGTATGTATAGGCAACCTTCGCCCAGGCATGTAAGGAGAGATCTTCATGATGTAGATACAGAGGTACAGGGGTGTAAGAGAGAGACTCTAGATCAACAGACCTATCAAACGGAACTAAATAGTATTCACTTAAAGCGGTCTCAGAAGTCATGAAAGAGCGAGAGCTGCCCCGACAAATCCGAGTAGTTTTGGCTCAGGTGCAGCTGTCTGAATTTCTTTTGGGCCCCTATCGACAGCGATGTGCAGAACAACTGCCCAGCTTGTTGTACAGGTGGCACCTATTTCGCTGTCAAGCCAAACCTACTTACCTAACTCCAGTCTCGTTGTGGACCCAACTCTCACAGGTTGTATCCCTTTGGAGACTGGACTTAGAGACAGAACCAGATTGAGAAGAGTCGAACACAGCAGTATGAGCTGCTATAACAACAATAACAGACGGACGGTCATCGCATAGAACTTTATATTCACTTTGTGGGATTTAAAATGTATATTTCGAGGTGTTACAAACGGAATGACAAACTTAATATGCCCGCCATGCCATGGTGGAGGGTATAATAATAAAAATCCGCTGAAATTTTGATGTTGATGTACAACTTTTGACCAGACCTCCAAAATACTCGCTCAAATTCGAATAAAGAGTGAAACTCATTCGCAAATTCCAGTCTTGCCGAGCACTCTTTTAGTTTTGTCACAACACAATTATTCTTCTTAGGTTTTATACTCCCAATATCAACACATGCTTCCGACTTAACACACACTTGAACACCTAAATCGGCAAACAAAATATATGGTTCCTTTCGATTTTACTCGTAGAGTAATCTCTACTCCATTTGGTGCGTTTTGATCCCCAATTTGATTTTTCAGACGGGAATAACTCTCTAGCGCTCCCACATAAAATAGAAGAGTGGACAGTAAACTTTTTGTACTCTTACTCGCTCATAGGTATGTTTCACACTCGCGAGTAAAAACGAGCAAAACTAAACTCTGTGAGATAATTGTTGGTAAACTGATTTCACATCCACAGAAACCCCAATACACTATTAGTCAATACAAAACACTTTCCAAAATTTCTAGAAAAATAAATGAATTTGGTTTAGTGGAAATAAAACATTTCTTACCAATAATTTTAAACTGTAATTAGGCTAGCAGCCAATTTAATAACAATTGAAAACATTTTCATAAAAAAATCTCCATATTTAATTTGACGATATTTTTACATTCCACACATATTGTCAAATAAATACTTTCAAATAAATTGCTATTTCACAAATTTCTTGGAATTTCTCATACACCAACTACAATATGAACTGCAATATAATATATTTTCTTTCACACACCAATACATTCACAATAATCCTTTATCACCCATACACACTCACTATGCACCGGTCGGTCTCTAACTCACGGCCATTTTGACCACTTGTTTGACATGGGGCGTTTCAAATGTGAACGTTGCTTAAAAATCACACGTTTTTATAGCGAATTTCCTTCCGTTTCAGCCGCACGTTCAACTATTTCGCTTTGTACTGGTGCCAATTTGAATATTTCGTGGTGTTGTTGTTGTTGTATTTTAATATTATTTCACGTTTTTTTTGTTTTTGTTTCTATTTAGCGTACAGTCAATTTGTGTACCGTAGGCATTGAAGGTACATAAGGCTGTGTCATTTACTTTGAAAAAAGTTCTACATTTCATATCCGTTTTAGTTCGAAAATCAACCAAGTGGACAGTCGACCGGATGGACACGTTAATGTGTTCTGAGAGTGGCGCTCACAAACTGCAACTGACCACAAGTTTAGAATTCGAAGAATTTTTTTCCAACTAAATGACAATTGACTGTCTCCTAGTTAAAGTGAGTATGTGCTTGTGTGGGCGGGGGAGATTTGTTGCGACCATTAGTTAATGTTCGAAACTGGCGCAATCTCCATTAAAGGACAATAAAATGTGGTGTCCAACATGAAAGTTTGTTCTCCCACAGATAGTTTGTCCACTCTCTCGTTTTTATTGTTCTCTTTTGTTGTGTTCTTCTGTTTACGAAGGAGAACACCATGAGTGGGTGGGTGAGTGGTGTTGTTGGAGTTATTTTATTATCCCTATTTCGAGAGATAGCAAATGTTCGTGTTCGTTTTGATTCAATAAACATATGCTTTTGATTTTCGGTTAAAATGATTTTTTTATTCGTAGTTTTTGTTGTTGATATTGTTGTTGTCATTATAGCATGTTGCATTTGTAATGAACCGTAATGACATAGATACCTACTACAATGGGCTGCATTATTGAGGCAGCATGTCCAACATAAGGTACGCTTCAAAGCACGTATACATTTGTCAAAATGCTTAGGGATGATCAAAAGTTTTGAACTTAGAATTTGGAAACCAATTGTATACATGGCTAGTAAGGAAAGGTCAAAAGTCGGGCGGAACCGACAATTTTCGATTGTAAATAAATTTGACGGAGGCTTTTGTACCTCTAATACCAAATTCCATTACTGTTTTACTCCATTACTAAATTATATTAAACAAGTTAAGTTCGGCCGGGCCGAAACTTTAAAAACGTTATAACCCATTATGACCCACAAATACAAATTTTTAGACATATTCGTGGGAAAATGTGGCAAAAATTATCAAAACGTCGAATATCGGGAGGTACCGCTATATGGGGCTATACAAAAACGTGAACTTATACATACAATGTTTCGGCAACGGAGCTAGAACCCAGTAGGACACACAAATACCAATTTTTAGACAAATCTGTAAAAAAATGTGGCAAAAATCATAAAAATACCGAATATTGCGACGTACCGTTATATGGGGACTATACCAAAACGTGGACCGTTATATCTTCTTTTCAATACCAACCATCCAAGACACAATACAAATAATTCTGCTAAATTTTGATGCTCTACGTCAAATAATGTGGCCTGTATCGTGATTTCAACAGACAGACGGATAGACCGCCATCGTTAAATCGACTTAGAATTTAATGTTGATTATGAGTATATATACTTTATGGGGTCTATGATGAATATTTAGGGATGTTACAAACGGAATGACAAAGTTAATATATCCTCCTTTCCAAAGTAGAGGGTATAAAAATATTTATTGCAGCAACAAATATACCGGGCCGAGTTTCACCAAATTACATATATGGTGAACAATAACCGTAAAATCGGATGAAGATGTATATCGAACGTATATATATATAAATTTTGAACGGATCTCGATAAGATTTGGCAGAATTATTTTCGAGCTGTATCTAATGTCATGTATCAAATTGAGTGTATTTTACGCATGTAAGGGACTGTACCATCAAATCGGAAAAAAACATATAGTAGCTCTAGCTTTATCTGAACCGATTTCCACCAAATTGGAAGTACATGCTTCTAGGCTGAATTCGGTCGGAAGTGCCACAATTCACTTCATTTGAGCTAATATTAGCCATTTTGTGCACAATAAACCTAAAATCGGATTAATGTATATATAGGAGCTATATGCAAATCTGAACCGATTTTGATAAAATTTGGCAAAGGTCAATCTTCACCAAGCTAAAAATACTTGTTTCTAGAATGAATTCAGTCGGAATTGCCAAGATCCATGTTATTTGGACCGATATAAGTCATGTCGAAACTATATATTTCATTCAATAATAAATGCATTTTGTTCACAAAAAGAAAGTGATTCTATGAAGATTCTCAAAAGAAACTTTGGTTCTATCTCGCTTCCTTCTCCATGTTTCAAACAAATGCACAAAAACCAAATACCCTTACCATCTTTTCACCCAATACCAAACATATAGTACTTTTTATACACTCCACCATAAATGGAGGGTATATTAAGTTTGTCACTCCGTTTTTAACTCATCGAAATAATAATTTTAGACTCAACAAAGTATATATATTCTTGATCAGCGCAAAATTCTGTCCGTCTGTTGTAATAACGATTCAGGCAAAACAAATAAAGATAGGAAGCTAAAATTTTGCAAAGATCTGTCTTTTGACTGCAGGAATTGTCTGAAAATCCACCCAAGGATTTACTTGCGATAACTTTATCCCCTGGAAGAGAATTATCTATATGGGTCTACGATATCGTATAGCCTCCTTATAACGGTTCCCTGGAAGAGAATTATCTATATGGGTCTACGATATCGTATAGCCACCATATAACGGTACCCCCGATATTCGGTATTTTGTTGATTTTGGCCACATTTTTAATGACATTTTCTGAAAATTCGCACAAGGAGTTCCGCGAGAGTACATTATCCCCTAGAAGATTTTTGTTTACATAGATCCACGATATCGTATATCCCCCATATTATGGTACCCTACGATAGTCGGTATTTTTATGATTTTAACAAAAATGTTCAATGGAATTGTAAAAAAACAACAAAAATGTTCAATTGTAAGTACTTTACCCCATTAAAATAGAATTGTTTATATAGGTCCACAATATCGTATATACCCCATATATCGGCACCTTCCGATATTCGGTATTTATAAGATGTTAACAGAATTTTTAATGGATTTTATTTTTATTTATTTATTTATTAATTTTTTTTTTTTTTTTTTTTTTTTTTGAAAATTGCCTAATTCGTTCCAAATGGTGGAGGGTATTTAAAGTTCGGCCCGGCCGAATTTAGAGCTGTTTTACTTATTAGTATTTCTCGTGCACTTGTAGGGCACATTTCCAAAATCACATCTTTAACGCAAACCTACCACCACCTGCCACCATTTTAGAAGTTTAGTTGCATTTCTGAATTTTTCGTAGCCGTAAAGTTCGAATTTCCAAAACTTCTTTGGTGCCGTTTCGTCTGGGTGTTGATTCTCGATCAGTCAGTATTTTGTTATTTCACTACTCTTTTATACATAGGTTTGAAGAACTAAATTTGCAAGGTTTTTCAAAGCAGTAAACTATATCATACCCAGAATTTATTCAGGTTCTAAATTGGGTACCACTGAAGTTGATTAAGTCATGTCTGCCTATCTACTTCCCAACGAAATGAAGCAAGTTGATAAATATTTGTTGAGATGCATTCTAGGTCCGTGGGATTTTTATATCCTCAGCCATATGGCTAGAGGGGGTATATAGCATTTGATAGGGACAAAATGTACCTAGTCGAAGTAACGGTTTTAGACCCTAGGTCTCTTTGGACAAAATCCGTTTCAGGAAATTTGGAGTCGATATAGCGATATGCGTCCGTCTGGCTGGTGCGTACGATAACTCTCGAAAGGAATATCCGATTTGGTCCAAACTTGGTACATCATAATATTTTTGTCAAACTTAGATCGAGTTTCGAGATGGATAATATCGGTCCACTCCTCCCCCACAAAAGATCGAAATTATCTGATTTTATATAATTTGCAAATTCTAATATTTGCACCAGTGCTACGTTAGGTGCGAAAATAGACAATATCCATCGAGTACCCACAAAGGGTCAACATTTTGAATAATTACAACTCTTATAAAATGTGATGTAAGAGTCTGTTTGTCTTCAAATTACAAACATCCCAATATTTTTATCAACCCAAAGTACCCTGGTACCTCCCCCACAAAAGGTTGATATTTTGAATATATATTAAGCTCATAAAACGCGAAATTAACATCCGATTCCATTTAGACTTGGCACATCTGAATATATCAACACAGAATATGTTATAAAAACGGTAGAGATCGGACCATTCCTTCTGGTTTCTCCCCCACAAAGTGTCAAAGTTTTATTCAAAACTTTTACCAAAACGTTTATAGAATCCGAAATAAGCATCGCGTTCTCTTTATATTTCACACATCCCATTATTTCCACTAACAAAAGATATTTTGTGAACATGGAATATATCGGTTTACTCCTCCTGGTACCTACCCCACAAAGGCTCAACATTTTCAATATTCATGAAGCTCATAAAAAGGGAAATTAATATCCAATGCCATTCAATATTTCCATCAACACAACATCCGTTATAAAGATTGTAGATATCGGACTATTTCTTTTGCTACCTGCCCCGCATATGGTTCAAGATTTTGAAAAACAAAACGCTCTAGGAAAGTGAAATAAGCAACCAACTCTCTTCAAATGCCACACATACAAACATTTTTGCTAATACAATATCTGTTGTGCAGATGTTATGCAGGATGAGATAAAAAAAACTGCAACAAAATTAAAAGCCATTATTTTAACATTTTTTTAAAATTGTTTGAATGAAAGCAAAAAAATTGGAAATAGCATCAAATTTTAGAATACGTTTAAATTTGTTTAAATTGGTCACATTTGGCACGAATTATGGCCTTCAAACGACCAACGAAACCGTCACACGCTGCCCGAATGTTGCCCTGCGGTATTTTGGCCCATTCCCGGCGAAGCGCTTGGTTGAGGTGATCGACACGTTGATATTTTTTAGTGCCAACCTTGCTT